AATGAAAATATTATGATTATTAAATCAATCTAATTTTGTTTTTATTTTTTAATTTTTTTTATGAATGAAATATACGAAGAACCTTATAAAATGAATAATTCAGATTATTGACATAAAATACGTGGTGAGTTCTATGTGCCTTGGACTCAAGAGAAGTTCAATTTATTATCATTTTTTAATTTTATTTTAAAACAAAAAAACAAAACACAACCAAACAAATAAATAAACTTATTTGGGGGGCTTTTTTTTTTTGTTGATTTATTTTCGTTTTTAGTAAATTTTTTAAAAAATTTTTAGGCTTCTAAATTGTATTTGACGAAAAGAATCGGAAAATTAATTTTTTTTTCAAAAATTAAAAAAAGTCCAAAAAAGCAAAAATATAGTAGATTTTTTTTGGTTTATTTTGATTTCTTAACTTTTTTTTTGGAAAATTTGCTTTTTTTTTTTGACTTTTTAAAATTGTTTTGTACTGAAAAAAATTGACATAATTTTTAAAAAAAGGCTTACGCATTTTGGGAACTTAATTTTGTAGTAAAAAAACAATTCAAAAAATCACTTATAAGTCTTTATCTTTTTATATGTCTTTTTATTTAAAAAAAAAAAGTTAAGAAGTTAAAAAATTAACCAAAGTAACAAATTGTCAATTAGGGGTTGTTTGGGTATCCTAAATAAATACACTTTTTATCTTTTTGAATTAAAAAATTAAGGAAAAAAATATAGATGTTTGTATTAACTTTTTTGATTTTTTATGGAAAAATGTGTATTAAAAAATTATATAAATTAGTGTGTAGGGGAAAAATTAGGATTAGAAGTTGTGCAGCTGTAATTTTTGACTTTTGGTGAATAGTGATAACTTTTTAACTTTTTGAGTAACTTTTTGACTTTTTTTCAACTTGTCAAACTTGGCCTAAATTATCCCAAATAGACACCAAAGGCATGTTTGTTTGAAGGACTGAGTTTGTTTGAAGGACTGAATAAGGGGAAACTGTAATTTATTCAACTTTTAATTTTGGAATGCATAGCCGCTAAACTATTTAGTTAGAAATTTGTATATCCCATATTTATTTAGTTATGAGGTTGAATGTCAAAAAATAATTACATTAAAATTATTTTTTTCACAAAACTAATTTTTTATTTTTTAAAAAAAATTAAAAATTAAACCAAACGTGTCCTAAATATTTAAAGGATAAAATTATTTTTTTACTAGTAGATCCAAATGAGACAATCCGATCAAAATATTAGTTCAACCAATAATTTTTTAACCAAATAACAAATTATTTAGGGCAAATTACATATACCCCATTGAGGTTTGGCTAAATTATAAATACCTCATGAGGTTTGAGAAATTACAAATTTTTCCCTGAATGCTATATTTGCATAACAAATTATGAGATAATTTGTTATGAAATATAAACCTCAGGGGACAAATTGTTATAAAAATAAAAACCTCAGGGGGCGGGATGTAATTTCTGAACCTCAAGGAGGTATCTGTAATTTAGTCAAACATTGAGGGAGGTATATGTAAGTTGCCCATTTTTGATTGACATAAGATTCAATCTTCCTTCCAATTCCTCCACAACTAGGGGTGTGCATAATACCGCCGAAATCGCCGAAACCGTCAAAACCGCACCGAGCCGCACCGCTAAGGCAAATTCGTTATTATTTGCCAATCGAACCGTCGATTTTTGGTAAGAAAAATGGCAAATTCTAGTGACACTTTTATCAATCCACCGGTTTCTATTTTTCTTCCAAACCGCACCGACCCACACCGCTATTAAATTATGTTTTATAAAATTCTAAAAATTCTTTTTTACTTAAGTTTGCTTGTTGTTCTATACCTTAGAATATAGTATTACATTACTGTTCGAGGGGAATTCAAGATGTCAGTAATCCAAAATAAAGTTGGATTCCAATTCACTTTTCAATCTTTTTTTTTTTCTGGCCATGTTGCAAACTTGCATAGCTCACTTTTCAATCTAAATACTTTTCAACAGTAAACATTTTCAATATATTGTAAACCCTGAATGATATTAATTTTATGTATTATATTTGATCATTGTAGCTTCTACAGATGCTTGTAATGAACTGATGGCATAGTCATTGATATTATTATGTTATCGCTACACTTGTTGCATCAGAAGAAAGTTTCGCAAGATGCTTAATATCACGGTATCTCTCGTCTTTTTTTTACTCTTTGATTTAAATTTTGTAATTTAAATTATATTTTTTATAAACCGTCAATCCTCCCGAACTGCCAAGATAAATCCGTCATTATTTACTAACCGAACCGTCAATTTTTAATAAAAAAAATAACAAATTTTAATAATATTTTTATCAATCCATCACTTACTATACAATTTCCATTTTTCTCTTAAGCTACATCGACTCGCACCGCGCAACCTCCTATCCACAACAAACAACTAAAGAAGTGAACTAAACAAGTGAAGCAGGGGCTATCACGGAGCCGACAGAGGGCCCATATGGCTGTCAGGTAAATCGTCGAACGTGGAGGAGATGTGACTCCACCATTTCCGCCAGTCGCGTTCCTTTGTCCCCACCATTCACGTTCTTTTCCACGCTACCAAACACGCCCCTTCCCCCTCTTGATGGATAACGAAAGCAACCTCTATTCTCTCCACACAACCCCTAATCTGAACCATACACGTGTCCCTCTTTTCACTACTCTCACACGTGTCACCTCCTCACTCCCTCCCTTCCCATCCCACCAATCACAGCCCTCTCCTCTCACTCCTCGATCCTCCTCGTTCAGATAACGTTATAAATGTCACTGGTCGGTGACCCCTCACCTCCCAACTTTTCCTCAATTCCACCAAATACCCTCACAAAACCCCCAATTTCCACCACTTCACTTCTTCCAAAATAATCTTCACCAGGGCTAAACTGGTCTTTTCAATTTCACAAAAACCAATAATAAAACGGTGGTGTTAATATATCAATTAGTGTACTAACTAGTGTACCAACACTACTTCAAAAATGCTAGAAACTCCAAAAATTCTACCAAAAGTTTTACCAAATATCTCACATGGGTGTGGGACCCACATGGGTCCCACACTCATGTGAGACATTTGGTAAAACATTTGGTAGAATATTTAGGATTTCTAACATTACTCACACTAGTTATAACATTATTATTGATCTCACTTACATTATAAATACCAAAAACTTTCTTTTCTTTATTTATATTAACATTTCCTCTCGGGTCGGTTGCGGCCACGGAACCTCCAATCCGTCATCCGTCCGCCAGATTGGCGGTTTGAAGAAAATCAATCCGCATCCGTCCGCTAATCCGGCGGATGTGGATTGAGCGGATTGACGGTTTGGCGGATGGATGCGAATCGGTTTGGCGGTTTAAAATTTTATAAATTTTTAACATAATTCAATTTGTGCACTTCCTCAAAAAAAAAGAAAAAAAGAAAGTATTGCAATCAATGATTTAAAAAAGTATTACAATCACTGTATACCTTATCCAAAGAAAGTAAGATTAAAACTTTAGAATATCACTATCACTGCATGCCTTATCCACATGTTACAATCACAGCATAATTCATCCACATAAAGTATTACAATTTGTGATTCTTAAAATATAATAACAATTCATATCACCAAAATCATGAACAGAGCAGTAGTAAAAATTGTATGTCTCTGTATTGTTATATCTATATATATGTTTTTGAAAATAAAAAACCAACCAGTATATATCATATTTTCTATTTATTATTTTTAGAGCTAGATTAAAAACAAAAAAATATAGATAAATAATACATTTATTTTTTTCAATTCAAAAAATATATTCAAGTTGAAAACTTTTTTTCAACAGAATATTTAAACTCTTTTTCAATTGAAAACACAAACATAATATTTATATAAATTGAAAATACAAAGTCCTATAAATTATTAGGGGTGCTCACGATTTGGCGGTTTGGCGGTTCGGTTGCAGCCAAAGAAATCTCAAATCCGCCATCCATCCGCCAAATTGGTGGATTGAAGAACATCAATCCGCAACCGTCCGCTCGTCATCACGCATCCGTCCAAAATGCGGCGGATCGGTTCGGTTCGGTCGGTTTTGGCGGATCGGTATATCCGCTGCTCACCCCTATCCAAAATAATCTTCACCAGGGCTAAACTGGTCTTTTCAATTTCACAAAAACCAATAATAAAACGGTGGTGTTAATATATCAATTAGTGTACTAACTAGTGTACCAACACTAGTTCAAAAATGCTAGGAGGGCTTCAAAAATTCTACCAAAAGTTTTACCAAATGTCTCACATGGGTGTGGGACCCACATGGGACCCACATTGTGTGGGTCCCACACTCATGTGAGACATTTAGTAAAACATTTGATAGAATATTTGGGGTCTCTAGCATTACTCACACTAGTTATAACATTATTATTGATCCCACTCACATTATAAATACCAAAAACTTTGTTTACTTTATTTATATTAACATTTCCTCTCTACTTTTTTATCAATTTTTTTTACTTTACTATTAATTTTTTTTTATAAAAAATCAAAAAATACATTTATTTAGAATATTTCAAACCACTCTTATTCATATATATATATATATATATATATTCTGGTCATTAATTCTACATGCAGATGGTCATAGGCAACGGATTGTCAATTGGATTGATGGCACAGGGCAGCTTTCAACTGCATTTGACTTCACAACAAAGGGAATTCTTCAGGTATTTTCTAGAGTGAGTTTGCAGAGACAAATCTAGTTAAGAGTAAGGCCTAGTTTGGGAAGATTGAAAAAAGACAAAAAGTCAAAAAGTCACTATCCTATTTAAGTTATATCATCTTATTTAAGTCACATCACCTCTCTAACACATCACTTCAAACCCAACCCAAACCCAACCTATATTTCATAAAAAGTCAAAAAATGCACTTATTTAGTCTTCCCAAACTAGGCCTAAAATAGAGTGAAAATATCGTATTTTATTTTATAAAATAAAATTGTTTTCTTCTTCGCCTGCCCTTCCTCCATTAATTTTAGCGACTGGTTTCCGCCATCTCTCTCTCTCTCTCCCTCCCTCCCTCTCTCCATTAACATTGACTTTATCGCTTCTCTCTCTTTAGCTTCTTGAAACCCTTTGTTTCTCTGAGATCAATTATGGTTTGATTTGTGTACACAGACATATATATATATATATATATCGATATATATACGTCTCGTTTGATCTATTTTCGCCATTGCTAGGTTATTTTCAGAGTCTGGAATTCGTCGACACCAATCGTCTAATTTGATCTGTTTTTTGATATTCGAGTATCATTAGCCGGACCTTTTGTGTTCAAAGTCGATCGATCTTCAATATACAGTGAAAATTGATACATTTCTGGTTGATTCCATTTTGGTATAGTGTTTACCCTGCCTAGGGTTTTATAGGAGGGTGGTGATTTAAGGGTTTTTGTTGTTTTGGGGTCGTGAAGATGTTGGGGGCTGGGTTGCAGTTCGGACGAAGTCGTGGGGATGATCGGTTCTACAATTCGGCCAAGGCTCGAAGGAACAATCAGAATCGGCAGAGTCAAGATGATCTTCGCCGAGCTCAGAGTGATGTGACTGTGCACAGTCAATCTCTTTCGGTGAAGGACAAGTCTGTAGTTTCGTCGACGAATAGAGAGCAGGAAAGCCGAGAGGGGTTCGAGGAGACTCCTAATCCAGTGGCCACTCCGCCATTGGTGTCCCCTTTGTGTAATCTTGAAAGGTTTTTGGATTCGATTACGCCCTCTGTTCCTGCGCAGTATCTCTCAAAGGTTAATTAACTCTGACTGAATTGGGTTCATTATTATAATAGTATAGTATTATTATCACCGTTTTTTTTTTTTTGGAAAATGCTATGAATCCAACTAAATTACCAAATTTTTTTTTTTTTTTTTTTTTTTTTTTTAACTTCATCTTTAAATTATCAATCAATTCCATTTATTTAGTTTTTAAAGTTTCTGATTTCAAGAATATTATACAAATCAAAACTGTTTAAATTTAATCTGATGAAAAAAAGTTATTTTAAAATTTGAACAATTTAAACTATTAAAAAAAAAAAAAAAAAAAAACACTCAATTTTGTTACTATTTTGAACAAATTACACCCACAACAAATTTAATGGGTGTTTGGTTGTATCATTTCAGTTGTCCAAATTGTTTACAATTGGACCATATGAACAACGATCAGAATTTTTTAGGATCAAATAGATGAAATTGATAGTTTAGCGATGAAGTAGAAAAATAGTGATATTGTAATGGGAATAAAAGTGAAATTAACCCTTGTATTATATCGATATTATTATTGGTTGCTAAATGTTGTTTCTTTTTGTTTGTTGAAATTGAAATGAATGTGATGACAGACAACTATGAGGGGGTGGAGGACTTGTGATGTGGAATTTCAACCACACTTTGTGCTCGGTGATTTGTGGGAGTCATTTAAGGAGTGGAGCGCTTATGGTACAGGAGTGCCGTTAGTTTTGGATGACAGTGATCGTGTGGTTCAATACTATGTTCCATATTTATCCGCTATCCAAATATATGGTGATCCTTCAAAGGGTTCGACAAAATCAAGGTAATTATAGTGCTGCACTAAGTTCTACTTGGAAATTAATTGAAGCAATAATACAGTGCCAACTGTATTTTAGCTTACTGTGTAATTATTGTTATGGTTTTCTTTGGTTCAGTTGAAGGGTTTCACAAAGGCCCACCCTGTATTTTATGACCGTGATTTCTTTATAATGTTGCTTCATGCTCTTTGGTTATTTCCAGACTAGGTGACTTTTCCATCTAATGTAATTGTGTTTTTATAAAAGGTCTTGCAAAAGATGGCCTTTGGGCTGTCAATAAGGAGCACAAAATGCCAAATAATTTATAATTTCATCGCAATACACTTTTCACATATCCCAAAACACGTTCACATATGATATTTCAATACTTTTTAATACACTTTTCGCACTTTTTCAATACTAATAACAGTCCTTAAAGTTACTTTTAGCATTTCACTTTAAATAAAATGAGAAATGAAAAACTTCATAAGTAACACAACAAAATTGTGAACAGAATAGTTTTTGTAAAAGAAGCAAATTTTGAAGTTTGATATCAGTCCTTGATTATGAAAGTAGCATGCAAAATAATATAGTATAGATACTCAGAAATCAAAACAACGTGAAGGGGTATGAAGACAATTCACTGTCCTAAAGCCACATGGGACTCCTTTCGTGCAGGTTCAGACAGATACATACAAGATACAACTCAAAATATTCACAACAATTTGATCCACAATGCATAGTTATAGTAGACAAAGTGTTGAGCTTGTATTGGATGTTTAGAATTTATAAAATATTAGTAATAATGTGTACATAAGCATGGAAGCAGATAGAGAAAATCGAGAATGAAAAGAACTAATCATTTTTGTGTCTTGAATTGGCAGTGAGAGTCTGTTTATATAGGAATTTTCATGCCTATTGTAACTGGTGCAATTGATTGGGTTTAATTCCAAAATCTTTTAGATTTAAACTGATACCTATTCAATTCAAAACAATATCCATTAATTTCAACCAAACACGGACTTTAACCGGCACAATAATTTCTTTGAAAAAAAAATGCATAAATAAAAGAAAACAAGTTGCGGAAATTTGTGGTAACTGTAAATTCAAAATTTTAATTTGAGTATGATTGAAACTACTTGGAAAATAATTTTTTTAAATTAATTATTCTTTTGTAAATGATTGTATGTTTTTATATTTATATTTAGATATAGAAATTTTAGAAAATTACGTTTAACTGAACATTATTAATTTAAATTTAGTATCACATTATATTTGTATTTTCTATTTATTGATATTTTTAAATTTTTTTGAAAATCATGTTTAACTAACAATAATTTGCTGGCAATTATTTGGAAGTGGTGGAGAAGTGATAGTAGTGGTGATAGTGATATGATGGTGATGTCTATGGTGAGAAAAAATATGTGGTGCTTGGGCAAATCCACGTAGTGCCCCAACTTGATATTTATTGGTTAAAGTTATCGGACCCAATACTTTTTGTTAGGATTTTGAGAGATAACTTGGCAAGTGTCAAGTGTTAAGAAGGAACCAATAAACTTAAAAACCCATTGGATTTGCTCACTAAACTATCGAGAGGATTGGAGCAAGATATACAAAAATGGCTTACGAAAATTTAGAAGGAAAGTCATTTTTAGGCTTTTCATGAAAGTTATTTTTGTTAAAAAAAGTGTTTTACTTGCTTTATGTTCAACCAAACAATGAAAAATGAGTAAAATATTATACATCGAAACTAATGGAATCTAAGTAAGAATATTGGTATGTAACCTTTTTTTAGTTTTTAGTCTATATTATAGCCAATTAAAATTTTAAGTGATATAAAGTATAGTAATTAGAAAGGCGGGGCGTAGCGGTAAAGCTTACCCTTGGTGACTTGGTGGGCACGGGTTCGAGTCGCAGAAACAGCCTTTTTGCTTGCGGGGGTAAGGCTGCCGCTTATGCGAGAGTTTTGTGCACTGGGTACGCCCTTTATAAAGTATAGTAATTAATAACATACGTAATTGATTTTCCATTAATATATTTCATTTAATTATATACAATGAAGCCCAATTAATTACCATCCTAAGAAAGATAAAATATAATACATAATAAAAAATTGAAATTTTCAGAGTGAAATGAAAACCTAAACAAATAGACGAGAAATAAAACACATATGCAGAGGTAGATTCTAATTACTAGTCTTCTAACAAAATACAAGAATTTTGGCCAATGGGTATTCCCTGTGAAGCATGAACACTTCAAAATAGACTCTGTAGCGGTGTTGAATACGGGAACACCAAGGACACACACGGGACATGCCAAATGGCGTGTCTCCTTAATTTTATTATTTATTTTTTGATAGGGGACACGCTAGGAACACTACAGGGACACGGGCAGGGACACGCCATGGCGGGGACACACGTGTTCAAATTTGGATAATGTATTAATTTGTTTAAATGTAGTGGTTTATATATATATTGGATTAATGTTAGTTTTTATTATTTGGTAACATAATATTAATCTACATAGCAAATATATATAATAATAATAATTTGCTACATTCCCTGCCGTGTTTGTGTCTCCATTTTTTTGAAATCACTATGTTCCGTGTCCGTGTCCATGTCCGTATCCGTATCCGTATCCGTGTCCGTGTCTATATCCGTATTTCATAGGGTATCCCCTTTTCCCATACACAGCGTGCAAATAAACAATTGTCAACAATTAGCGACCTTGCATAACTGTTGTGGCTTTTGCCAATGATAACTCTCATGGTTACTCAGATCAATGTGGCTCAGGATTTCATTTAGAAGGAAGGTGTATTTTGGAAATGAACAACAGTAGAAAACAAGTCACCATCTTTATATTTTTATAGTAGTAGAGATAGAGATTATTGTGCATTTTTTTGTCTGCTTCGTATTTATTTAATTTGTTTCTGTTGCATTTTCTAAATTTTAAGTTTAGAAACATTTATGGTCTTTAATTTATTTGGCATACTGGAGTTTGTTTGGTTATTGTGTTACTTTTAGCATATTATGGAATTGTATGGATTGTCCAGTCAGGATGTCGGGCACCACTCACTTGTACAATCCTATATAAATTAGTGGCACAAAGCCCTTCACATTCTCCTGTTCTTAAGGAACTGTCGCTGTATATAAAGGTTCCATGGGTTGTTTTCCTAAGCTTAGTAAGTAGCTCTTGAGACTTTGTTTTCTTCTCACTGTAACAAGATGAGACATGTATGTTATAATGGTAAAGTTTTCTTTTCTTTATATTTATGTTTGATTTGTACTTTTTCTAATTAAGATAATATGCAGCTGTGTTCTATGTTATGGCCGTTACCCCTTTTCATCTTTATATTTATGTTTGATTTGTACTTTTTCTAATTAAGATAATATGCAGCTGTGTTCTATGTTATGGCCGTTACCCCTTTTCAATATCTTTCATTTTTCCTTAGAAATGACAATCTAGAGAAATTAGCAGTTGTTTCAGTGTAAGCAGGCCACTGTATTGTGGTACCATTGGTGATAATGATATGCTAAGAAGTAAAAAGTTATGAGAAGGTAGCGTGTTTGTGTTGGACATATGTCTACTACCAATACTTGTCAAACACTTTCTGACATGCGTCAAACCTATGACCAAATATGTTTAGCTTTTGTAGATCGGAATTTTTTTTTGGGTACTCTTTGGAGGCGCACGTGTTAATCGTTTAGGCACACATAAAATGCATTGCAAGATTGAACAAAATAATTTAAAATCCAATGTTAAAAGAAAAACGCAGATTCTACCTATTAATCGTTTTTTTAAACTTTAGGAATAAATTTATTATCTTTGAATGAAGTATTTATGTATATGACATATCATATAGGGTAAATTACGAAGGCTTCCCCAACAGTGGGAATACATCCAGCTGGCCTTGCTAATTTGGAAAAAGTATATTGATGTCTTTTCCATTAACTGTCGCATAAACGGATGTAACAGAAGTGATAAAATTACTTCTGTTAATTTCACAGCCTCTTCCTTTATTTATTTATTTTTCTCCCTTTTCATCTTCAGTGAAGACCACTGCATCATTTTCTTCCCTCTCTCTTCTTTGCTCTCACTGTCTATATCTCTTCACCTCTACCAGGACCTTCTCCCCTCCCCTGTGTCTCCCTTGCACAACCATCGCCACTCCCCTCTGCCTCCCTTGTACCACCGCTGCTACCCATCCATCATCGCTTCACTCTCTTTTACTTTTTTATCTCCCATTGCCACCTCCACATGCCCCTACCGCTGCCACCTCACCCATACTACCCCTTTCACTTCCGCTATACTCGGCATCTTTGTGGGCTGGGTGCTACTGCAGAGGGCTGGGAGCTGCAGGGTTGAGATTGTTGGATTGGGCTGGGTTTCTCAAAGTCAGAGGAAGATCTCTCATCTGACAGAGTCAGCAAGATCAGGGTGACTAAAGCGATCAGCATGCTGAGGGCTGGCTGTTGGGTATTGAGGGGCAGATTGCACTGAGAGTAGGGAAATTGGTTGGATCTGGTAGGCTTGGTGGTGAAAAGTAGAAGAAAATGTGTGTGGTGATTGGGTTACTATTTTAATTGTGAGGAATTAGTTTGGAAATAGGGTTAATTGGTCCCAAGAATGAAAATTGAAAATTGGGTTGCTATTGTCATATTTCATTTAATTGGTAAACGACCAACTAATGGAATGACGGTAAATGTCATGCGACTATAAATCTTAAGGGAGGTGGATGTATCTAATATGAATGGGGTTAGATGTATTTTTGTTAATTGCCAGGGAAGGTCCATTTTATTTACCCTATAATATAAAAACCTAGCTATTGAGGCGAGAGTGCTCATAAGCTTATATGCTTAACATTACTTCAGTGCTCAGGCGATGTGGTACTTTGCTTCACACACTTCCTCATGCCCAATGTGCTCACTCGGCAACGCCTGCATCGTGCAGGCTAGGGACATGCACCCTACCCATCTCTGAGTATTCCGACTCTGATACCATATTACACAGTCTTGTGTAGAACTCAATTCCAAAGCTAGCTATTGAGGTGAGGGTGCCCTCACGCTTATATGCTTAACATTACTTTAGTACTCAGGCGATGTGAGGCTTTGCTTCACAATATCATGTCATGTATTTGGGTTAAACATTTGTTGACACCCACTTGGCTGAGGGTGTTGTTGCCTCTTTAATGAATTTTAGGAGGCAATCCTTTTCTTTCTAAATGCTAGAAGCTTGGCACTCATTAGTGAAATACCGTACTGTGTGTCCATATTTGTATTTGTATTCGTGCTTCTTAGCTGTTGATTGATTTTTTGTTTAATATGTTCAATTAATTTGTAAACATGTTTCGTCATACAGTTTTGATGTTTTTTTTTGTGTGCAATAGGCGACCAGGCGAGGACAGTGATAGTGACCATTTCAGGGATTCAAGTAGTGAAGGAAGTAGTGATTCTGAACATGAGAGATGCTTGAATTACTTGAGAGATCAACGAAATCATCACCATTTAACGAGTGAGGTTCCTCTTAGAATGGATCGATTATCCTTGAGAGACCAGCATGCTGCCCTTCAAGAAGATTGCTCTAGTGACGACGGTGAAACTGGTCTTACTAAAAAATGCCTGCTTTTTGAGTATTTGGAACGAGGCCAACCATACGGTCGTGAACCTCTGGCTGATAAGGCTAGTCATCTTTTCCCTCATTTGATACATGCAAAGTTTATAGTTAGATCTTTTATTTGTCCTTATTGTTTCTTGTCTTTTCATTATAACAGATATTGGATCTTGCACGCTGTTTCCCTGAGTTGAAAACACTAAGAAGTTGTGACTTGCTATCTACCAGTTGGATTTCAGTGGCCTGGTATAATTATCATTCCTTGCTTCTGAGCCTGGAAATGGACACAAAACGCAGATGTGACTTACTTGTCTTGTTTGAATTGTTGCAGGTATCCCATTTACAGAATACCAGTGGGACCAACATTAAAAGATCTGGAAGCGTGCTTTCTGACTTTTCATTCTCTTCATACGCCTATGTCAGGTAAGTGAATTGTTTATATATTTATTTTTTGGGTCAGTTTGTTGATATTACATTATACATATTGCTATATTTGAATTGTTGATGCACGTGATCTTGTGCTTGGCAGTGTTGCATAAATCTTTTGGTCGTGTTTTTTTCTTTTTTTTTTGGTAGAGACCGGTGACTTTTGTCTGTATACTGTGTCTGTTTCCACTTTTTTAACACAATTACTTACACCAAGCTCCACAGTTTTAACATTATTACACATACCTCTCTTTTAGTGATTAAAAAGACCAAAACTAATGCAAAATTGTATGAAGATCCGAAGATAAACAATGTATGATATACATTTTAGTGTAAAAGACATGACAATATCATTTTTTCATTCATACTACTAACGAATTTCTAATGAAAAGAGAGCCAAGGGCTATATGAATTAAAACCTTAAGGGAGTCCAGTGGCCCCCTTAAGGGAGTCCAGGGGTATTCCTTAAGGTTTTAATTCTCTCTTTTCATTAGAAATTCGGTAGTAGTATGAATGAAAAAATGATATTGTCATGTCTTTATGAGAGGTCAGTGTAATTTAACCCATAGAGAGACAACATTAGGTCAAAAAGCTTAAAAAGTACAGCCATCAGCCTTGAAAGAGGCAGTAACCTTCCAAATGTTGCCATCCTCCCCACTGCAGAGAAACCGGGCCAGTTCATTACCAAATTTGTTTTGTGTTTTGGTCCCACCTCACAAAGGCAATTCTACACTCCACCAAGATCTTCCTCAGATATGCTCATCCCCAATCACTACTGCTGCATTCTGGTCCACTCCCACTTACCGCTGCACCATGGCCACAACTTCTTGAGAAACCCCCTCAAATATCCCTTTTCTAAAACAAAACTCAATAGCCATCCTTGTAGCTGCCAATCCCTCTGCCAATATATAATGATCGAGCTGCCACCAGCCGCTCCTCAACATCTCGAGTCACAATCCCAATCCCCCTATTTGCTCATCAATGTTGAAAGCACCATCAAAGTGTAACTTGTATAAACCTCTTGGTGGTTTAGACCACCCCTCTGACCTTTGACACTAGAATGTCTCTGATGACTGCAAATTGGAACTTGAAGATTTAACCCTCATCTATTTCTGCATGACTCCACCATGGCACCCCACACCTGACTAGTATTGATTCTCTCTCTCTCAGTGTCTAGCACAATGGTATTTCCACAACCCTCATAGCATAGTAGCCACGAGCTAAGCACCACTCATAGAATAGTAGCCGCAAGAGCTAAGCACCAATTTGTGTCTGTGACACCCTTCCAGTGGCCTGTCTCATCATGGTCTACCGCTCTTAAAAGGAATCTAAATGATAACCAGATGTATCTAGCCGCATAGGAAACAAATATCACACCTGAAACACGAAAGAACACTGAATAAGCTGAAGCAAACCGGTTTCATGGTGACTTGAGCATTAGGAACACACTGGATGGACATCAATTCACCTTTTAAAAATTGAAATTTTGACTGGTACCACGTTCCATGCACATTTACGTTGTACTTTCAGGTGCTATAATAAACTTTACCTCCAATATTTGGATGTAATGCCTGACTGACTCCTCCCTTCTCTCTTTTCTCTGATGTATTTTTTTTGTTCACTGGTCAACCAACCCTTCCTGATTCCTTTCTAGACTTTGTGCTGATCCAACTTGAGAAGCCTTTGCCAATGTCATATTGACTTTGGGTTGGCTTTTTTTTCATCTCCCATATTCTTGTACTATATTCTTTTCCATTGATTCTGGAGCGTAATAGTGAGACTTTTTTGGTATTTGATGTTGAATCATAACGTCATATTTTATAAATAATAATATGTTGTCTGTTTGCATGTTGTGTACTACAACAGGCTCGCAATGTGCTCAAGCCCCAGTTATGACTCATCCCCACGAGATAGATGGCGTCCCCAAGATTTCATTACCAGTATTTGGTCTTGCATCGTACAAGTTCAAGGCATCATGGTGGATGCCTGATGGGGGATCTGATCGACAATTGTTGAACTCCCTCTTGCAGGCTGCTGACAAATGGCTGACTCTGCTTCAAGTCAATCACCCGGATTTTCTCTTTTTCAGCCGTAGATGAAAATTCATAGTTTGTTTTTGTTTGAATTGAGATGCAAAGTTTGTGTTGGTGTTTCCCTGGTTTTCCTGATTTTGAAGAAAAGGAAAGGAAAATGAAAATTAAAAAAATGGTCGGAATTGAAGGAGGGAAACTATAAATAAGCATCGATGCAAAATGACTTGGAGGAAATATATAGTTAGATGCAGCAGGGCTGAGCGAAGCCTGGGTAAGCTGTTGTTGGGCTTCTATAACTAATGTCAGCATGTTTTCTTCTTGCTTGTTTTTTTCCCTTTATATAACATATATAAATTATGAGAGAACAGGCTATTTTTTTTGTTGTCCTGGTGATCAGTACTTAGAATTGTAATATTTTTATTTTAAGGGGATTTTGATAGAGAGGATGTACAAGATTATCAAGGTGTAGCTGCCCCATGTTATGTATCCTATCTCTTACGTTTTTGAACATATTGTCAGCTATATTAGTTGCCTCTGTATTTTTGTTTTGTTCTGTATTTTTTTGTTCTTTCAAAATTTTTGTGTTCTTATAAATTTGTAATTTCCTGTTGCTAGTGTTGATGCGATTTTTGGCGATGAAAAGGCATGTGTTTCTTGCCAAATTGTTGGCTTTTTAATCATTCATTGCCCAATTTCTTGTAAAATTGGTTATGGTGAGTACTTGTTTGGTTATATATGTTCGATCATATTCTAATTTGGAGGGTGATGTTTGTGTGGAAGGATTGACGTATAGGGGTGGCAAGTAGAGGCGATCAATACCATTACGATTGAAAAATAAAAATAAAAATAAAAATAAAAAATTTGCTGCTTCTAATTTATTTTATTTTTTAATTATATTAATTTGTCCTCTTTAAAGTTTTTAAGCGGTCTCTCTCAATGCTCAAACTTTGTAAGTAGTACATATGTTTACAAAAGGATATTTTTAATTATAAGGGTAAATTACACTTTTACCCTTTACCCATGCACTCAATGTATTATATATATATATATATATAAAATTGATAATCATTTACATTTTCAGTCAATTTGTAATGTGATCATTTTGTTTAGTGTTTAAATTGCTGAAAGAAATTTATCATGTGAAGGTCGCATGAAGCATTTTTTAAAACAAAGGTATAACTCAATCTCTCTGACAATTTTTTTCATTGTTTTTTTTCTTTTTTATTATATATTTTAAACCGATCACCATCGACCATCCCTTTCTTGCCCCATCCTTTCTTTACGACACATGGCCATTGCCTGCTTCTTTCTCGCCATACCATGAGTATCCACCACCTCCCTTTGATTGCTAGCCCCACCTCTAGTCACTAATCAAAGTAGATTACGTTTGTTTGTTTGTTTGTTTTTTTCTTTACAATTTTTTCAAACATGTGAGCCCCCAGTTTTTTTTTTTTTTTCATATATATAAAAAAAAATTGGATTTAGTTTTTAAGTGTTATGACATTAGGGATTAAATTTTAAATGGTATACTTTAAAAAGTAACCTTATGAAGTTTTTGTTTTGTTTTGTTTTTTTTTTTTTTGAGAAGACTTAATTGAGTTTGGGGAGACATTAATGTTGATACAAAATACGCGAAATCTCTTGGGTTGCGAGAGTTTTTGTTTTGTAGGATGGCCCTTTTGGTTATGTTATTTGGTTTTTTCTTTTCAAGCCAAATCTCATGAGCCTTTGTTAGGTTAGATTGGCTTTGTGTCTCTTCGAAATTTGGTTGCCTTTTGATGGAGCTTCATTGTATACAAAACTTTTTTGGTAATAAAATGTTTACTTACATAAAAAAAAAAAGTTTACTCTATGTGTGGTTTATCATTTGATATTTAAAAATAAATACGTAATTTCTTTTTTGTAGCTTGTAGATTAAAGTATACCGTTTGTATTGTTAATGTTGTGAGTAAAAACATTAAAATACCCCCGTCTTTGTACATAGATATCTTATGATTTAATTCACGGGCATTTTTAGTAATTTTTTTCAAGATTTGAAGTGCACTTTACCTCTTTATGGTTTACTCTACATGCAATTTACTCTTATAACATTTGGATATGAGCACATATTTCCCTTGTGTTCAAGGGCGTGTTTCATAGTAATTGTTAAGTAGTAAAATATCTAGCAGTTTATAAATCACAAAGAATTATGTGTTTATTTTCAAATAATAAGAAGACAAAATATGAAATAAACTATTGAAAAATCAAGTTCATTAGACTTACCCAACCGAAAAAAAAAAGAAGCAAAAGAAAAAAAAGAAAGAGAAGGAAGTTTATTATACAAGCTTTATTCCATAAAGCAAACTGAACTCAACAAAAGCACTCCACAAAGCACACTAGGAAAAAAACAAAGAAAACCCATTCCCAATTTTTAACAAATACAAGTCCCAAACAAACCCTCCAGGTAGGCTAACATAAGTAGACAATAACATCAATAACAAGACCAAGTAGTATATAATAATAATAAATAGTTCCTAAGCTTGAGGGCTGAGTAGTCTTAACAACTAGGGAATGGACTGCCACAAGTGTTAGCCACCTTGTTTGCATTGGGAGATTTGATAAACTTTTGAAGATTAGGGTCTTTCAAGTACTGGCAAAGGCAAGGCCTCTGTTCCTTCAACTTGGTGCAACATGCTGTTGTTGGTGGCTTTGCTGATATGATTGCACCTGCACATGGGCTCAGCTCCATTGGGTTGCAAGTTGCTGCCATTGACATTTGGGATCCCTCTACAACTAGAACAAGGACAACACACACTGCTGCTATATGTGACACTTTCATCTTGATGAATGAGAGAGAGAGAGAGAGAGCGAGAGAGAGAGAGAGAGAGAGATGGGTGCATTTGTGCAGAGTTTTAGTCACAATTTATAATGGGAGGAGGATAGGGATTTTTTTTCTTTGTAGAGAGGTGCCAAAGAATAAGGTGAATTATAATATTATTAAATACATCCAAGTGTTTTGTGTTGTTTAAATCCCATTTTAATTATATCAATTTAGTCTCTTAAGTACATAATTTGTGTTTAAATGGACCTATTTTTTGAAATATTTTTGGCACAAAATAGTAACACATGACTGTGTGTCCACCTATCACATGACTGTGTGCCCATCTCATAGTAACACATATACGTTAATATAAAAAAGAGAGACTATCTGGTAGGTCCACATTATTACATGATTGTGTGCCCACTTTATAGTAAGGGCCCATTTGTTTTGGGGTTATGTAGATGGGAGGGGATTAGGATGGTGGAGGTGTTATTTAGTGTTGTGTTTGTTTGTAGAGTTGGGGAGGGGATTAGGATGGTGGAGGTGATATAGATGGAGGTTGGGGAGGGGATTGAGATGGAGGAGGTGGTGATGGTATTAAAAAAATAGTGAGAGGATCAAAATTTTTTTTTTGTATATTGGGAATTTTTTTATAAATATTAATGTTTAATTTTTTATATTTTTTATTTGTTTTATTATTTTATATAAAAATAATTTAACAATTCCTACACTAACAACTATTATCAAAACAAACACAATTTTACTTAATCCCCTCACTATCAATCCCTTCACTATCAATTCCCTTCATTCTACATCTGAAAACAAACGGGGCCTAAGAGAGCACCTAATCATTTTGCCTAAAATATAACAGGAATAAAAGAAATTATTAGTTACATAATTCTATACAATTGCAAGAACATATAGCATAACATATAAGGTGGACCTGTTAGATAATATTTTTATTTTTTAGACGATTTTAGTGCTAGGACCATTTAAACAAAAATAGACTAATTACGATAATGGTTTATTTTCTCTAAATTACAAAATGTGAGTTTGAATGGTTACCACTCTCACACCATCTAAATTAATTAACAGAAGCTGATATATTTTGGAACTTCACTAAAAAAATGTAACGAAATTAAAAGATTGGAATAAAATATAACAAAATGCATATTTTGAGATTATTTGTGTATTTAACTTTTTATTTTTTTTGCTGAGATGTGTATGTAAAACTTTGAAAATATCCTAGGACTCATTTATCAATTTGGATAGCGGCAGAGCTAGAGACCGAATTGACAAAAATTAAAAGTTTAAGAACTAAAATGCAACAAAATGTAATAAATAAAAAAAATTAAAATAAAAATTGTGACCATTTTGTAACAAAAATTCTATACATTTGGAATTAAATTGATATAATTGAAATCTTGGAACCAAAATGACGTAAATCATATATTTCGGTGATGGAGGCAGATTGCCACCGGTCCATATAATTTGTATTGGAGGGCATTGTTTGGATTTGTGGAGTCACCACAGGTCCCGTTTTGATGATCCATATCATTTATTTTTTTAGGCACTTCGTGTATTTTATCTCTTAAAAAAATTAAGTTGATCCGATAACCGTAACCTATTCAATTTACTTCATTTGTCACTAAAAAAATAAATAGTTTATTTTTAAAAGCACAATTATTGTTCATTTTTTAGTAACAAATACAATAAATTGAATAAGTTACGATTATCGGATCGCCTTAATTTTTTTTATGGATGAAATACACGAAATACCCAATGAAATGAGTGATTTGAATTATCAAAACGCGACTCATAATAGGCCTCATGAATCCAAACAACACCATCCAATCCAGATTATGGAGGGAATCCTCCTCCTTGTGGGATATTTCAAAGGTATTCAGAGCTAAAAGTTAGACTTATTTTATAGACCTAACACTACAAAAAATTAAGGTTTTAGAGACCAAAATTTAGGGACAATTTTTTTTTTTTGGCACCAAATATTTTTGTTGCGAAAAGTGACATTATGTTTTTAGCGACAAAAATTGGACATTAGTGATGAATTATTATCTTTTTGGGACCAAATATTTTGTCTTAAAAAATAACTCATTTTGAAACTAAATTATTTTGTCCCTAAAAGTTTATTTATTAGTGACATTTTCAAAATTTTATTGTTAAAAGCCTTATTTTTGACTTTTTGGGACGACTTTTTAACGACTATTCCTATGACGATGGAAATTGGTCTCTAAATATCTTTTGCAACAAAATTTTCACTTTTAGAGACCAAAATATTTGGTCTCTATAATCCTTATATGTTGTAGTGCAATTAAATGAAATAGAATGAGAGGAAATGAAATAATTTTACCATTACTCTATTTGGTTCATTAGAGTGAGAGGAAATGAAATAGAATGGTGATTCCTTAAGTTTTTTTTAATAGAATGCCATTCTCTTAAAATGGTTTAAAATAATTCTATTCGTAATAGATTTATTATTATTTTTTTAATTTAACTAAAATAAAAAAAAAATATTTTAATAAAATAATCATTTTATTTAACTTTATTCTAATAAACTAAACGCTAAATTTACTTTTACCATATGATTAATAAAACCTATGTTTGTTTTTTTCCAAAGAGATTAATGGCACCGAATAAAGTTGGTCCACCTTTGTTTTTATCATGAGTTAGTGGTTGCAATGGGGGCACATGACATTTGTCACTCCTTGCTTTTGTTATTACATTGATCGTTCTTCCTTA